CCCCCTCCCCCCTCCTTAATTTAGTTGATGTGACATTATGTGCAGATACTTGAGTGCAGGGCCCAAATTTGTAGCGCTGATTTTTTTTTTGTACTTTTGATTGACAACTATTTAAATTTACCTTTTTTCAATTTAATTTTACATTAATGTTCGATCTAAACTTTTATTTTACCTAGTGAACAATTTTCAATCGCTTACTTTTGTTCAGAAGAGTATTTTTTATTCAAAAAAGAATTCCTTTCATCAAACAAGATAGTCAGACACAAAAGTAGAGAAAAAGGCAAGGTGAGTACTGTTAAGTAAAGGGGTCATACTAGTTTGAAGTCAGAAGTTAATTGTCGGTTTCTAGACATTTTTGTCGTATGAGTATGCCTTACCCAGGCTGCGCAACGTGGAGGTAAGTCTATCGTGCAGCCCTGGGATGATATAATTGTACTTAATGATTTGACTCCGCGGTTCATAGATGATTCTACGTTCACGAATTTAGGAGCTTCTAGGCTGGTTGATTTACTTCGATGATCACTGTTCATTCGCTCCCCAGAAAGGATAGGATGAATCAACGATCTTTTTAACCTATCGGAATTTAACAAAGTCCCTTAAGTTAATTTAGTAAGTGAAATTACCAAATTCCTGGAGCCCTTTTAGACAGCGTAAAATGTTCGAATAGGCGATTCTCATCATAGTAGCGAAATCACGGCACAAGTAATTATCGGCCAAAATTATTACTCTAAAATTAGTTGAAATTTCAAACAATTGGCTGTTTTTAACCAACGAATTGCAACTTTTTATGATTATGTTTTTTGTAACTCAGCAGACTGGAAAGAGGTCCTCCTTTTCGATGAAGTAGTCTTATCTTAAACTTAACGAAAAGGTTTTCTGAAATCAATTAAATTTTATTAGATTTACTCTTTTCCTTCCTTATCTTTGCTTTTGTGATATGAAAAAGCATTAGAGAAATTAATTCACTATAATAAGAGTTTCTAATGAACTTTTCACCTTAGTTTAGAACTTTCCCATATTATTGGTCTTAGCAAACCTAATTTGTATAGTTAATTTTTACCTAATTCCTTTCTTTCAGCCGCTATTTTCCTCAGACTACCAGAGCTGCCTAACACCCAACGAGAAATTCGTTCAAGGCGTCTTCACTGGTTTTGACTTCCAAAATTGTTTTCCTCGTTAATTCTCTAAAACAAATACTTGTCGTGGATGTTAATAGAAATGATCTAACCTCTCAATAAAATTACGATAGTTTGAATAAAATCTTACTACTTAACATTTTCCCACATTTGAGATTATTTTAGTGTGACACCTTGTTTTAAATATCTGGTGTGTGGATTATAGATTGCTTTCGAAACACAAATTTCACTAGTTTTGCATTTTGCTGTGTTTATTGGTTTTTTTGTTTGTTTGTGTCTCACAAACCTTAATTAGCCATCCTGCTGAAGAATTGCGTCAACGGAATCGAATCTGGTAAGGAGGCACAAATTTTTACTTTTAGCATATTATTGATACTCGATGATCCTAAAAGTAGCAGTAACTTTTCCATTCTAACAATATTTCTTTAAAGTTGCTTGTATTTGATGTAGTTTAATCACTTTTGAATCTGTCAATAATTGATTATTACCATTGTCCACTCTTGCATGGGCTTACTATCGGTCCCTCACTTCCAAATTTGGCAGATGAATAAACAAATACGCCTTAATGTGTCCTTTGCACCATTTTAGTTCCCAAACCAACTCGTAGTTCTGGTAACACACCTTCTGAAGGTATGAGAAGAAAGGTGAGATCGTACAATTTTTGAGCTAGGATATGGAATCCGATCACGTGCTGGTTTTATTATAAATAACGACAATATATACAGCTTGCAAATTAGCATTATTTATGATGAGCGGTCCTGTCACTTCAAGCAGGATGAGTTTGCTTGATATAACCCAACAGAACATCGTAACATACCAGAACTCAATAATCATCCATTTTTTAAGTTGCCATATTTTTCCTCTTTAGATTGGGTTATGAAGGGAATTTCTTCAGTACATTTGACTTGATCTTGGTCGGAGTGATCTGCTTGTCCTGCGCTTCAGCTCTCTTGGCTCTTTTTGCTCTCGTTTGTTGTCGTTGCCGATGTCCCACTAAGCGTGATCATATGCCTATCCCTCTTGCATGAAAGTCGGTAAGGAGAGGGGCCAATGGCAATCTCCAGACTACCGGCTGCTTCACGGTTTTCTCCTCCCTTTCGCCATCTAGTCGTACCCCCCCCCTTCACTCATCTTTTCGGAAGCACAATTGTTAAATTATGGAAAAGCATTTTGCATTGTCTCATATTAGTGCTTTCTTTACCTGTTTTGGTTGTCTTCCCTTATACTTATTTGTCCTATGTCATAGTCATATTCTTTTGTACATTGTAACTTTTTACTCAATCTTGAATTACATAGTACTAGACTCTTTCAAGAAAAATTAATATATCCCGGAGGTAGATTTATTTGGATTCTTTAATGAAACTTAAGCCCCACTTAGCTGATGGATGTCGGCATCACTCTGGCTAGGACTGGTATTATGTAAGGTTAAGTAAGAATGGTCTATCATTTGAGAATCAAGTGTGTCCTGTTTTTTTAATGTCTTTGTTGGGATATTTCACATCTTGCTCTTGGAATTATGATCCTTCCAATAGAATTGGTTCTAGTAGACATGCTATTTTAACCCGAAAGTTTGCGGAGGAAGTAAATAGTGGAATCAGATATATTCAACAATGACTGTCTTATTATGAATTATGTTTACTAATACAATGAAGGGTTCTACTACTAAAATGTAATAATATAGCAATCTAATACCATACTACATAATCTGAACTCTTGTTGCAGATATATGGAAATTAAGTTCCAATCAAAATCAACGGAATTTAAAGAAAAATGGCCATACAATAACAGCGTGAGGATTAATATGGTTTCAAAGTCTCGATTATTAAAATGGCTAGATGCATAGGAAACGGCGCGTTCAAGAGGATATATCATGTATTTATTTAAAAGTCAAAAGTATGCAATGACCAAACATTATTTATCTTAGAAACGAAGGCTTAGTGAGTAAATAAGCCTATTTTCTGTGATTATACTAACACACTATTATACCTGTCATACCAAACATGCTATCAATTAATTATTATAAAATTGTGTTTTAACATAAAATATTTTAATAATTCATATAGAATATCGCTTAAGTCAACATTAGATATTATGAAGTAATGCTTATTGACCGTTCCCCATATAGTTTACACATCTTTGGGTATTGTACTCGTGAATGTATCTATATATATTTCCTATATCTGTTGGCTTGAACTTTGTAGAATATAAAGCTAATACGCTTCTTTTCAATAAGCGCCCTCCTGCTGAACCAAACATGCCGTTGCGAATTTGATAATATCGGCGCCGCAATAATTTTAGGCAATGTATTTATCAGTCACTGCAAGGGTTAATTAAAGAATAATAATAACCTTCCGTCCCAAAATACTGGCTAATTAAATCAAACTTACTAGTAACACAATACCTATAACTATATATACCTAGTCAAAGCATTTGAGATAGACAAAGCAGAGAACTCAAAAATCACCTCAGCAATTAAATAAGATAATTTTATGAATAAATAATTTTAGCTGAATTACAAATTATGCTTCTCCTTATTGGAAAAAATAGTTGAAGCTGTTTGTTTAGATATATTTGAGAGTGGCATTATCAAGGACCATCTAGTAATTTCATTAAGCTCCTGCGGATTTTTCTTCTTTTAAATATATAATCTTAGCACTAAACATAAATATTTTTAAGTTAATTAAAATAGGCCTTTATTTAAACCAATGTCATTACATTTATATAGAAAATTTTAAATAAAATTTTAAAGAGTCAAACATTTGTCATGCATAACACAAGGTCACAGATTTGTGATGCTTTTGGTGCCTTTCGCGAGTACTTTTTATTTCGCCTTTGGTTATGGGAGCGCTTGGATTTTCGGTGTTATGCTTTTCCGTAATATTTTTATTTTTCTTATCATGTTTAATGTACATCAAAATTACTTCAAGATTAGTAAATATCAAAGGACCAGTTTTACTAGTAACTGCACATCCTGATGATGAATGCATGTTCTTTTCACCTGCACTTTTATCACTATTTCAAAAAGGAATCCCAGTTGACTTGCTTTGCCTTTCTTCTGGAAATTTTTATGGCGACGGTCATAAAAGATGTCAGGAGTTGAAAAAATCTGCAGCACTACTTGGTATTCGTCACTTGAAGATCGCTATCGACAATAAACTCCCAGATCACCCTCGCGAAGTTTGGCCCACTGATCTTATTCAGAAGCATATTCTACAAGCTGTTGAAAAATGGCATTCCAAAACTCTGCTTTCTTTTGATTCTTATGGTGTTAGTGGTCATTCGAACCATTGCCAATTGTTTAGAGCTTTGGCTGAGTTTGTACCTAGACCTGATGTGAAGATTTACTTATTAAAATCTTACAACGTCGTCATCAAGTACTTTACACCGCTTGCAATTTTGTTGGCTATCTTCTCTTCAAATGCCTTAATATTTACTGTTCCCTTTACCTCTACCTTCATTCCTCATAAAGCCATGTTGCAACATCGCAGCCAACTGCTTTGGTTTAGGTATCTTTATATAATTTTTTCCTCTTATATGTATACAAATTTGTTTATTCCTCTTAAACGCCATGTAAAGTAGTGTTTGCATCTTTTTTCTATTCCATTTTATTATTTAACTTGTTTTTGAATGTTCATACTCCTCTCGGCTCAGGGGCAAAACCTTGATGAGTGATTATTTTTGTATTTGGTATGTTTGACACTATTAAAATGATAAATTTTGAAACTTATGCCAATATGACTTTTCTAGCTTATTTACCTGCTTGGAAAGTGGTGTAAAAATTTCTTCAATTTTGAATTGAATTTTATAATTGCCTTATTTTTCCTTCAGCAGTAAGTTTTTAACTTGTTCAAGATCGGTAATGTATATCTTAATCTGTAAGGTTAATTGTTTTACTTTTGGTTAAAGTAAAGAAGGAACTCACGTAGCTTAATGCGCTCAATAGAGACATATTTTCTTCATTCCGAGAATGACCATTTAATGCCTTATAAGTGTTCATGATTGCCCTGAGAACTAGATGACGAATTAAACTTACATTTTGAGCGATTCATAGGCTTCTTTCGTATTGGCAATCGCATCTACTTTAGCCGTTATTCTCTCAATTTTATTAAGATTTTCAGCATGAATATCGTTGAACTCTCTTTGCTTGGCTATTAATTTGTTGGAATTTTCCAACAGATTTTCCGTTTTAGCCTAAAATAATTAACTTAAATTAGCTAACTAATTGCATGAGTTGGACTGATTTTTGGAATTTTTGAATTATTTTCGAACTTTCTTCTTCTCTGTATTTTAATTCAAAGTGAAGTGACTTAAGTGCCTCTGCTCTGCTTATTAACTCATTAATTTCTCCAAAGTCTTCGCAATATTGCAGAGCCGAATTTAGAAAGTCGTAGAATTGAGTGAAGTACCGAAGGCTGCGTTCCTGTTCCGACTTGAATGCCAGCAGTCTCTTATACTCTTTCTCTAAACTACCGTTTCAAGGCAAATTTAAGGAGGCATACGTGTTTATCTCATTCTGAATAGTAACAATTTTGGCTTCTTCTAGTTGAGTTTTTCTTTTGGCATTTTGCATTCTTCGCCTTTGTTCTGAAAGTCGTTCCTCACAATCTTTTGTTTTTTTCTCGAAGTTCAGAGATTTTTGGTCCAAAATTGCACGTTGTGTCTTTATTTTA